CAATCTTCACATAAGATTTTATGTTAATCTGCTGATCGAAATCTTTTTCACGCATAACATGAACACGTACAACTTCCTCTGCTGCTCGGCAAGGAATGACTCAACAGGTCTACGTCTTCAGACTATTAGCATTCCTGGAATTATATTGTCACACTTCGTTTATATATATATATATATATATATATATATTAAAAAGAAGAGGGGTGCCGCAAACGTTTTTGGTTGTAATGTGGATTTATTGAGAAAAAATTTTATACTTTGTTTTACATAATTTCACGACACGTGTTTCTGGTCTGGTCTCGCAACCGTCTTCAGGTGAAAGTGGAGATTTTTACATATTATTAAAAATAATTAATTTTTCTTCATGTTCAATGTGGAATATTCTCGATATGAGACATTCTGTTTGTGTGTTGGCAATCCGAATTTTCTTTCTTTCCATTACATTCACTTAAGTGCTAATACCCTTGTGAAAGGTATGAATCCTCTTCTTCTCTCCCAGCTATGGGTAAATAGCAGGACAGACTGGATTCCTTGACTTGGATGGCAACTGGTCATGGGGAAGGACAACCCTGAAGTGAAAACCTGCAGAAGGTCGTTTGTGGACCCTGTGCCACATGCCGAGTATTATTTTTGAATTTGTGGATAAACTGTGCGAAGTTCACTTTTTAACAAATTTCTCTTTAATTAATTTTGAATTTCAGTCAATGACTCTGAGTTCAGTACCTTAGAGAGGTGAATTAACAGGAGATAACTTCTAACTGACATCCATTAGACATGGTACGTGGAACTAGAATAGTCTACACCAGCGAAATAAAGGGTTCAGTTCGACATTCCAACCACCTGAAGAAAATCGGAGCGTACAACGGCCGAAATGTTGATGAATATGGCAACAAAGATGAGCATGATAATCCGAACAATGTATAAATCAAACAGATGATAATATCATTACCAATATTGATGAGAATAAAAGATATTACACCATTGATTTCAGCCCGATGATCAGGGATTTAAGAAAAAAGTAGGACTGGCAAATTGGTTAATAAATGTCCAATATTTCCTTATAATCGGGCAATATTGAAAAAGATGCTGCATTTCAATCCCAGCCCCATCGTTAGGGAGTGAAGAAAAGTATAACTCGAGAAGCAGTAGTTACTCTATCAGTGTATGTCGAATGTTTCCTTATAAGTAAACTGTTATACCGGAATGTACCTATTTCTATTGTAAACAGACTCTCCCACAGATAATAAGTAGTAGTAATAGCAGTCGCCAGTTGGGCTCGGTGGAGTTGTGTGAGTCAGTTGATGTCGGACATTAAAGTATGATTCCCACAACTAGATTGCTGCGTCATTAACTATATTTCAAGTTCCTAACGTTTTGTACGTCGAACCTAATTTAGGACCGACTTAGTGAAATACAAGCCTCCACTATGAAAACTACTCTATAAAATAAACGTATAATATTGCCGATGAAGATGAAGAGGACAGATACTACACTTTGATCCCATCCATGATGCCCATACAGTGAAGAAAAGCATAACTCGAGTAGCGCGGTCATTGCATTCTCAATGTTTGTACATATTCATATTACTATTACTATTGGAATGGTAAATTCATATATAAAGACTATAGTTGCTGCCAAGTATGTCACCTAAATACTTCAGCACAATATCTTAATTAATATTTTTAATTGTTTTCACATCAGTCGTACCTAGTGGATCATTCTGGCGATCAATTTTTAATTCATCGAATCAGAAGCGGGAAATTTTCTTCAGACGCAAAGAAAAGAATGTCGAGTTGCTATGTAATAACAGTCCTCGTCTGTGGCAGTGAATGCTTGACAATTTCCTCTTAGATAAAGAGAAGACTAGAGGCAACAAATGATTAACCATTTATTATAAGAGGACAGTGTATGGCCATCAGCAAGATGTGATCGACATATTAAAAGGGTTGAAATAAAACAAGTGCGGAATTTTAACTATCCGGCAAGTGATATAACAGACAATAGAAAATGGGACGGAGAAAATGAAGGGAAAAAAATATCGATGGAAAAAAAAGTATGCTGACCTGCTGTGTAATATAAATCCTCGTTTATAGCTGGACAATTTCTTCACAGATGAACACGGATAATGATTTGATTCTGATTTGCCTGTTCAACGGCATATCGACACCTTATGGGTCATTTAACGGTAAAATTTAATTTTTCTTTTGAGCTTGGAAGTAATAAAAATGTTATTCTGCTTTCACAGTCGAATACATGGCAGATGATACTCAGCGTTTTTGCATATATGTGTTTGTATAGACATCATTACTAGAGACGGTGATACGAATATTTTAAGTTGCAGATTTATTGATAGTTTGGCCGAGTGGTTAGAACGTTTGCATTCCGACCATAAGACCCGGGTTCAAATCTCACCATGGTCGATTTGTCAGGAAGGAGACTTCCTGATATTATCAGATTGGAGGGGTAGATCCTATCGTGGCCGACGACTTGAGCGTGCTAGCTTTGGTCAAATTGTTGATCACACTAGATAACACTCTTTTTCCCCAGCATAGTTGCAGTACAAACCAAAGGTGGGCTCTGTAGATGTTGAATAAACACAAATGCACCTGAGCAAGCGTCTGCAATAGGGATTGCCTCGCCGACTTAGTAGATGGCTATCCTTGAATACGAGTGGCCAACTATACCATATATAGTAAAAAAAATGCACTTTTATACTTTCATAGTGTTTGTGGTTCACTATTTGCCAATAGCTGGGATCCTAACAGGTGCTACCACCCCGGGTCAGGTTGGACCTGGGAACATCAGCAATTAAAAGGTTGTTCCACGCTCCTCAAAAAACTCCAATCTTCCGATCAGAGGTCTTGCTGCCGAATTTAGTTTATCGTCATACACAAGACTAAAATGATACTGAGAATACCATGGATAGAATATGTGGGTAACGAGGAAGTTTTAATGAAAAAGGAAACAAAATGGATAATTCTACTTGAAATATTGCTAGATTTTTTTTTATATAATAATAATCATAATAATAATAATAATAATAATAATTATTTAGCGATAGAAGTCTTACTAATTAACCCATAACTGGAGGGAGGAGGTGGTTTCATGATTTTCGCAAGGGTATTTACGTGTAAATGAATATAACGAATCCAAATTTGTTCTGTCATTCGTTAGTTGACAGAACAAAGAAACGGAAGGACAGTAAAAACAAGAAATATCATACCTAAGATCCACAATGGATAAGAAGATGTGGGAAGGATAGTAAGGGTATGGGAGGGATATTAAGGTTACATATATTAATTAGAGCTACAAAGGATAGGAAATTATGGAGAGCCATGATCAATCTACTTAACGAGCTTGGGTAACTTGATTGCAGAACAAGAAATGGGAGGGGCCTTAAGTGGATAAACATTACTTAGAGTTACAAAAAGATAGGAAATTGTGGAGAGCCATGACCAACTTAACGAGTATGTGTAAATAGATGACACAAAAGGGTATGTGAGGGATTGTAATTAGACAAACATTGCTTATAGGTACAAAGAGTGAGAGCCATGATCGAGCTACTTAACGTGCGTTTTTAACTGAATAATAGAACAAAGAATAGGGAGGACCGTAAAAACAAAAAAAGGCACCTCGAGGCGGTGTGAGGGTTAGCAAGCTTGTCTTCCAAGAACAATTACGACTGAGTAGTGAGTTCGATCCTCACTGGGTGCTCCATACTTTCGGCCTTGTGCCACATCTAAGCTACGCTTGGAAAATCACCAGCGTAAAATTTCCTCCTTGGAGGAGTTTCTAACGCAGGCTTATCTCTCAGTTGCGTCTCTGTCTCTGGGCAGAGTGCGCTCATGGGCTTCTCTGTCAAAGAGGCAACTGAGAAAATTATACCGAAGAAGTGCCCAGCCCTTGGGAACAGCTGCTCGAGGCCGCCCCATCCCGTTGCACCAGAGGGAGGGATCGGTGCTCGCACTGAGGCCAGCACAACCGACGTTTGCGGGGGCTGAGGGCAATTTTTGTCCCTTGTCCGGGGGTACGCGCTCGGCTTCCCACTTTAAAAAGACCTTGTGTCACATCTCGTCCTCATGGGGGAACGAGTAAACACCGTAAAATCAAAGAAAAATCATAGCTAAGAGCTACAATGGATAGGAAAATGTGGAGAGTCTTAACACATAATATATTAGAAGAAGAATCGTAATTCCAGTGAATTCTTTTAACACTGATCTATGTCAGGTTTTCTCAGCACGCTGTTAAATTTCTTATTTCCGAGATGATTCAAACGAACTTCTGGTATTTTCCTAATTTATTTTTCTTTTTTAAATCTGTAATCCGATATTAAAGCAAAATCCACATTTTGGCAGGTCTTCTTTTGTTTTTATGTACATCTCACACATCGATTCTTCGCATTTGGATAGCACATTGTAAAGGAAAGTCTGTGTCCATTTTTTTCTATTTTTAATTTTATATTCTTGGACAGTTTCTGGTTTGTAATAGTACCATTAGTTTCAATATTTGATAGCAAATCATTTACACAAATCCTTGTGTATGATTCTACCTACTATATCAAACCTGTTTTTCTATCCATCATGGCTACTCATCATACATTCAATTGTCTGACTTACGCTCTCATTATATTCTTCGAAAAGGCGTGGGCCATTATTTCTGTTTTCAGATATGTCGGCGGAAAGGATCTTCCGTTTCTGCGTCTCATTCGTCTCTCTATGCTTTACAACGAATAATAAACAGACTGGAATTCATGCTAAACCATTCCATTTGAGTCTTTGATAAGTGCCACTGATTCATTGTAAATTTCTCAAGAGACACAAATAAAGGTACTCGATTCTCTCTTGATATCTGTTACTGCGTCTAATGGCTTTGCTGAAAACGTGAGAGCTTCTTTCTGTTTAGATCCTTGTCGTGAAATTACGAGGCCATTAAACTCCAGTCGTTTAGTCATAATCCGAAATGGAAAGCGAAAAGCACCCAAATTCTTGCGTGCATAAAATATGCAGGCAATCTGTAAATGTTGTTATTTCTTCTTTGTTTTCTTCTTCTTTCCTTCATCCTCTCCTTCTTCTTCTTCTTCTTCTTCTTCTTCTCTTTTCTTCATCCTCTTCTTCTTCTTCTTCTTCTTCTTCTTTTCTTCATCCTCTCCTTCTTCTTCTTCTTCTTTTCTTCATCCTCTTCTTCTTCTTCATCCTCTCTTTTCTTCTTCCTCTTCTTGTTCCACTTCTTCTTGTTTTCTTCATCTTTTCTTCACCCTCTCCTTCTTCTTCTTCTTCTTCTTCATCATTATCATCCTCTCTTTTCTTCTTCTTCCTCTTCTTGTTCCACTTCTTGTTTTCATCATCCTCTCCTTTTCTTCTTTTTTCTTCTTCTTCTTCCTCTTCTTCATCCACTTCTTGTTATCTTCATACTCTCTTCTTCTTCTTTGTTTTCTTCTTGTTTTCTTCATCCTCTCCTTTTCTTCTTGTTCTTGTCCTTCTTCTTCTTCTTCTGTTTTTGCTTTCCTCATCCTCTCCTTTTCTTCTTCTTCTTCTGTTTTTGCTTTCTTCATCCTCTTCTTTTCTTCTTTTCCTTCCTCTTCAGATCCTTCTGCTTCTTCTTCGAATCATTTAACATTTCTTCAAACCCTTCTAGTTGTTCTTATTCTTCTTCAAATCCTTCTTCTTCAAATCTATCTTCTTCCTCTTCTTCTTCAAATCATTCTTTTTCATCTTCTTCTTCAAATCCTCTTCCTTCTTCTTCTTTAAGACCTTCAAATTTTTCGTTAAACCCTTCTTCTTCATATTCTTCTTCTTTTTCTTCTACTTGCTCTTCCACTTCTTCATATTCTACTTATTCTTCTTTAAATCCTTCTTCTTCTTCTTCTTCAAATTCTTTTTTCTTCTTCGTCTTCTTCCTCTTCTTCTTCTTCAAATACTTTTTCTTCAAATACTTCTTTAAATCCCTCTTCTTCCTCTTCTTCAAATCCTTCTTCTTTTTCTTCAAATCATTCTCCTTCCACTTCAAATTCTTCCTCTTCAAATTCTTTTTCTTCTTCTGCCTTTTTCTTCTTCAAATTCTTCTTCAAATTTTTCTTCATCTTCAAATCGTTTTTCTTTAGGCATTTTCATCGCTTCACATCCATTCATTTCAAACAAAATATAGATTTTTCTTAAGATTGTAATTTACTAGCATTATCGTCCGTTTTGCTTATTCATCTAAACTCTGTATGGATGAAGAGAGTCGACAAGATATATGTTTTTTTTCTCCATCACAGTCCTCCATCATATGATGGCGCAAAACTCGACGCATCAGGTGTCACGGCGCCGATGAGACTTTCGTGTGTAAAGCGAAATATAACGTGAGAAACGGAGAAAATAATCGCATGGAAAATATCGAAAGAGTGTAAACACTTGAGATATGACAAGACATTAGGACAAAAATTAAATACTCCCTTAACACTAACAGATGACAGACTGACAGAAAAACAAATGGTAAGAAAAACCTGATATCGATAGATCATTTGTCACTGAATTTCAAGCACAGAATCTAAAGCATTGCAGCCCAAAGCCACACAAACACACACACACATTTTTATTATCAGACATGTTTCAATATAGAATACTAGAGGAGAATATGAATTAAAATTAAACAATGTTGTTGCAACCATATTGAGTGGGGTAATTTGAAGTATAAAAAATATGATTAGAAAAGTGCGCAGTAACTTTCCGAACACCTATATATATATATATATATATATATATATATATATATATATATATATATACATGTTTTATTAAATAATATAGACAAGTTTTGTCTATTTATTTTAAGTAAGTTCCTTTCATATTGTCTGATAAGCTTAATTAACGTGTGACGTCAAGACCTGCGACGCGATTTTCGCTTCTGCGTCTCAGATACACGAGTTTGTTGTTGCTTTGAAATTTTTTTTCATGCAACAAAAACAGACTATCATTATTGTTTCGTCCGTGTGTTGTTTGATATATTGAAATGTAACTGTCATCTTTGATAATGGCTTATGTAAGCCGAAAGATTAGATTGGATTTAAATATGTATCAATATGGTGATTTCCTTTCGTCTTTCAATGATAATGTTATTAAGCTTATCAGACAATATGAAAGGAACTTACTTAAAATAAATAAAGAAACTTGTCTATATTATTTAATGAAACATGCATTAATGAAAAATTTCTGCCTATATATATATATATATATATATATATATATATATATATATATATATATATATATATATATATAGGCAGCAATCCTTCTTTTCATGCACATTTCATTGAATACGACAGAGAAGGTGCTTTGATTTAGTTTTTTATACAATTTCTCATGCAATCCAATTGTTTTTGTTTCTTTTCAGATAATAAATTATATAAAAATTGTCCGAATGCCCATTAAAGAATTATATTCCTGATCAATCAAAATTCGTAAATAATTATATAGGCCACACTACAACGTGTTTGACACGAAGACACATTCTACACTTTTCTGATAATAGCTTAATTATATCTCATTTAAATATTCATGGAGACCTACCGGACCCTATTCGTAATATACTTGTTGACAACACTAATATAATAGCATCATCTACATACAAAAAAATGGCTAAAAATAATGGAAGCCTTATTAATAAAAACAACACTTAATATTATTAACTATGAAAATGGACACAATAACTTGACTGTGTTTTGAAAAATGAAAACATAATATAAATACATACATGCAAAAAGCTATTTCTTATTTAACAGTTAAAATATGTCATCCTTGAAAATGGCTAAATGTATAGCCGAAAGCGCTCGTAATAAAAGAACATTCGGACAGTTTTCTTATAATTTATCATCTGAAAAGAAAATAAATATTAGATCGCATGAGAAATTTTATAAAAACTAAATCAAACCACCTTTTCTGTCGTATTCAATGAAATATATATATATATATATATATATATATATATATATATATATATATATATATATATATATATATATATATATATATATAAATATATATATATATACAATAATGCCTTGAGAGGCGTATTTAATTTGTTCCAAGACTGATATCGTAACTCAAAAGACTTTTATCTCAAATCAATTTTCTTCAATGAAATTAATGGAGATATTTTCCGATCCGTTCCAGACCCCTAAAAATTCACTACTTCTCTTTACACTTATATTTCTTCGGACCCATGGTATCATTGAAGGAATTTTGCAAAATAACAGCCCAGAAGACACAGCACATCACAGCCGAGATTCTTCTAGAAAAGAGGTGAACACGTCTACTGCGGATGCTTAACTGGAAGTCGCACATATCTCAAAATTCAGTTGGTAAAGCAAAAATCGGACAGATTCCGTCTCTTATCTGAAAGAGAGAAAAAAACTGGTATTACAATGTATTACTGTTTCTCGAATTCCAGCTTCGATCAACACGTGAATGGCCGGAATAAACTCTTCTACTATTATTCAAAACAATAACAAAATAACATCTTAAACAGTCAAAACATGAAGAGAAACTAATAGCTCTCAAAACAAACCTCCTTGAAAATGGCTGAAGAGGACGAAAGCTTTTGGAAGAATGGACAATATGGACAATTGTTGCTCTTTCTTAATTTAATCAAACGAAGAAATGTAAGAACACTGGAAAAACTAAATAAAATTTTTTAACATATATATATATATATATATATATATATATATATATATATATTAGGCAGCATATAATTTATATACAAAGAAATAATCACGCATAGAATCAATCAGCAATATTAATGCTATTATTGGCGACATCCAGTTTTAAATTTAAAATTTAATTTTAAATGCATTTTTCGTTTCACTTTTTGAAAGAGAAGTCTGATGATCCAGAAAAATAAAATTCTCTGGTGAAATAAATTATTACAAATGGAGTCTTAAAGGAGTCTTTTTTTTAAATTATATATATATATATATATATATATATATATATATATATATATATATATATATATATATATATATATATATATATATATATATATATATATAAAAAAAAAGGAAAATATGCTTTGATAAAGTCACTCAGAATACTAAGCGTCGGCTAAGAAAAAGATTACCTTTTATCTTTATTCATATATATATATATATATATATATATATATATATATATATGTGTGGGGTGTATTGACCGATAAATCTAACATATCTTAAAACTATAGTCTCATTATGTATATATATATATATATATATATATAATGTAGAAAGAAATATATATATATATATATATATATATATATATATATATATATATATATATATATATATATTAATGTGGAAAGAAAGTCCTTTCACTATTTTCCGCTTTGATAATTTAAGATTTTTTATTATATAAGATATATTTATCCATATAATTTCGAGTACTTTTTTGTCTTTCTTTTTAAGAAGATTTTATGTTCCGTTAAATAATGTTTGAATTCATGTGACCCATAAAATGAATGTTGATAAGACCCACCAGGAACAATGCGTTGTTTATGGCGTTTAAAATGCTTTTATTAGTTTCAGAATACTCGAGAAATATTTGCATTGCTTCTGGAAGAAATATGTCTGGAGAATAATATATATAAATTTTTAAATATCAAAACAATGTTAGGTGTCTAGACGCAAACGCTCAGGCTATTTAGTTTCCCAAAGTTTTTTTTTTTTATGTCTGTTCTATTTCTGTTAACCCATACTGCGATGGAAAAAATGATTTCTTGCTAAAGGAGAATTCTTGATAGACCCGAGACGTAAATTTACCGCGGTAAACTCAGAAAGCAGTTCTCTTTCTCGAAATTTTTCTCTGAATAACATTTTCTTAATATATGTATTTTTAATTTAAAAAAAAAAGGTATCTATTAACACTAACGGAAGTTTTTGACAGTTTTGCTTTAGCGTTCATTTTAAACGCAAAAGGAAAAAAAAATCGGTAATGGAAAGGTACACATAGTTTTTGTCTTAATAACTGCATCCCTGATGATGATCTCAGAAGGGGAGGGAAAATACTTGCGAAATAAAACTGATTCTCACTGTTACAGTGCATTTCTTGCATCATTTATTTGTAATACCCGGAAAAATATCCGTGAATATGAACAGATTGTGTTAAAAATAATCAGATATAATGTTTGTAGTTTATTTAATCAGATATGCCCAAAAAGAGAATTTGCTGCCTAAATACTCAAATATATATATATATATATATATATATATATATATATATATATATATATATATATATATATATATATATATATATTTGTGTGTGTGTAAACGCATACATTCATAGCGAGGCTGTCATTTATGAAGACGGAAAATAAATATTTAACTTGTATACGCGTTCACAATCCAAGAAACTTACGCTTGTAGAAGTGTTATGATTCAACAAGTTATACACACACATACAGACAATGTCACGCTTAGATAAACATGAAGACGCATACAGTCATGCAAAAGAAACAGGAGTCGTTTCCGTAGTCCGGATTCCAGTTCTTGAATTCACTTTGAAACACTTCCTGGCACTCACAGGTTTATTGTCCCCCACTGAGGGAATGCTACCATTACTTTCCAGCGTTCAACTTTGGCAAATTTACGAAAACATCAATTTTGCTTTTAAGCAACATTTTTTTTTATCTTAAAGAAAACATTTGTTATCGATCTTTTGCCCCCCCCTTTCGCGAAATGCGAATTTAGAGACTTTTATTTTCACAGCTTGATTTCTTTTTATTACTTTTTAAAAAGTCTTTCCCTCACTTTTATTTTTTTCACCCACTTTTTCACGCTTTTTCCACTCTAAGCGATTGTCGTACACTTTTCTTGTTCCAAGCCCTACCTCGAGATTAAATCAATAATACAAAGTTGTCAGCAACATTAAGTTTACCATCCCCATTAACTGAAGTATTGTCAACAATTATTATTAATTTTTAACCGATATTTTATTTCAAATTCATTTTTTCGTCGAGGAATCACTGTTTGCCATTATTATTATTATTATTACTAATTTTGTCTCGCATTTTTCATCTTCATTTTCATTACATGAGACTTTGTCAATAATTACGATTGCCAGCTATTTATATAAAATGTTGACTCGTATTTAATTTCAGCTTCATTTTTGGCAGAAGAAGCCTTGTCTTACTTATGACTTATTTTTTATTAGATGAAGAATTGTCGACAATTATTATTATTTTATTTGCATTTACTTTCATCTCCATTTTTATTTGAATGAAACATTGTCAACCATTAATATTTTGACTAGTATTTACTTTCATCTCTTTATTATATGAAGTCTTAAATTTTAAATTAAATTTTTACTCTTATTTACTTTCATCTCCATTTTTTATTAGATGAAACATTGTCAACCATTATTATTTGTTTTTGACTATTATTTGATTTTGTCGTCTTTTTTATTTGGTGAAACGTTGCCAATCATTTATATTAATTTATGAGTAGTAGTTACTTTCATATTACTCGTTACTCCCACATCTAAGCTACGCTTAGAATACCATATTAGTTCTTACTAATATCTTATTAGATGAAGAGTTGTAGAGGCACTGTAATGCATAGAGACTTCTATTGAAGAATCGTAGTGCCGAGTTCGAATTCCAGGCAAGTTTATTGCATTCACTTACGCGCTAATACCAGTGAGAAAGGCATGATCACACCCTAGCCTCATTTATGGGTAAATGTTAGGGCAGATCAAGTTCTTTAGCTTTGGTTGGCAACCAAAGAGAAGGAAAAATCTCAGAAATATAGACAAATCCTGAAGAAGGCCGGAACGTACAATGGCAGAAATGTCATGAATATGAAAAAAAAGATGAGGACAACAGTCCGAACAATGTAAATTATGTAAACATTAAAATACCCCATCTCAGAAATATAGACAAACCCTGAAGAAGGCCGGAACGTACAGCGGCCGAAACGTCGTAAATATGACAGTTAAGATGAGGACAACAGTTCAGTTTCATTGTTATTCATTTATCCCTAGTATTTGCTTTAATCTTCAATCTTTTTATTTATCCGTTATATCTCATTGGATCAAATTGTTCGTCTTCTAACAGGAATACAGTTATTCTTACTTGAGTAGGTTTTTCTTTTTAATGTTTTTTTTTTATTCTTGGTGGTTCGCATACTGATTGCGAGAATCACTTGGTTCCATTCCTCGAAGAAGATTAATTTAAAATCGGCAGAGCCTGATGGTGGACGATTCCAGCGTGCCTAACGATAATAAACGATCGTCGAAGTTTATTCCTTGCCAAATTTAAAGGCCTGCTTTTCCACATCGAAGAATAAGAAGCCAACAAAGAATGCCGGAAGACGATCAGATATCACTAGCCAGTGATTCTGAATAAATTGACACCAATAGGCATTAATCCCTGAATCAAAGCCTACAGATGGTTTTTCGCCATTTTAAAAGGAACAAAAAAGAAAAAATAATACTCAATATCGGGAGGACATTTTTTATTATTCTTTTAGTAAAACATTCTTCTTTTGTCGCGAAGATATGAAGAGATGGCAATATTGAAACAGAATACGAGGCGCAAATATTTACAAATTCCGCTTTTGTAGAAAATTTAAAGTGACTCAATAGTAGAATTATTTTTCTTGTTGCTTTTTCCTGTATTGTTTTCTATTTTTTATCTATTTAATTTTCTTCTTTTTGTTTTTTTCTTTTTCTTTTCTTTTTCTATTTGTTTTTTCTTCATTTCTTCTTCTATTTATTTTTCGACCTCTTTTTTATTTTCTTCTTTTACGTGTTTTCTTTTCTGTTTCTTTTATTTCTTCTTTTTGTTTTTCTTCTTCCTCTTCTTCTTTTCCAGTTTATTCAGTTATTAATCACTATCTTCTTTTGCTGCTTTCAATTTTTTATTCATTTTTTCTTTCTTCCTTTCTTTTTCACCTTCTTTCTTCGTTTATCATCATCATCTTGGCGATATTTTCCTTTTTAATTCTTTCTTTCTTTTTTTTTATACACTACCCTTCTTCCCGTCAGTATTTTATTAACCTTCTTTCTTTTACGATCATTTTCCGGCAGAATCTTTCTTTTTTCTTCTTTCTTATTCCAAAATTTTTTTCACCTTCAAAAAAATCGTTATATTTCTTTTATGCTGTATTTCTTCTTTCTTAATTTATTTTGTCTTTCTTTTTCCTACATTTAAAGCATTTCCCGCCAAGCAAGGCGAGAGTGTCACTAGCACTCAAGGAGTTACAGAGAGTGAGAGTAAGAGTAAAGAAAAGAGGACAGGGATCAAGGTCATGGCATCAGAAGATGTCGATTGACATTACATTTGTATATTTGAAGATTATAGCTATCTGGGAAGCAAATGATAGGAAAGGAGTTCCACTAACGGGAGGTGCGAGACAAGAAGCTGTTGGAGTAGAAGAGATGGCTACAGTTAATCGTTTCAACAGTGAAAGGGTAGGAAAGAAATTACAACCTAGTAGCAGGCTTAAATTCATGCATTTCGGGTACCAGTGAAAGTATCTCATGAAAGCAGTTGTCATGAAAATACGTATAGAAAAGAAACAGGGAAGCCACATCACGTCTGTGAGAAAACTGTAGACAGGATGCCAGATCAGGACCTATCAAATTGCATATCCCTCTCAGGATTTTGTCGAGAACCTTGAGATGAACAGCTTGAGCACCAGAACATATATCAATATTATAATTTCCAGTTTATCAAATGCTGCTTAGATATGAATCTACTTCTTCGCCCCAATTAGCTATGAGTTAATTAGTAAAACTTGTACGAATAAACTATTCTTATCTAAAAAAATAAAAGAAGAATTCTTACAATCTAAAAATACGTTCTGGGTTTAAATATCCTGGAAAGGATCGATAAACCGTAAAAAACAGAACAAGCAATATTTGCTCGTATGATTCGTCTATTACATTCTCAGTATCCTTAAGTAGATCTACATGTTTGTTGCCTGGGGTTTACTTCTCAGCTGTCCATTAAATAGTTAAGATTTTCGGTTACATTGTTAAATATAATGTAGCTGAAATAAAATTCATAAATTATTTTTTTATGGTTAAGTAAGGAATGTTAAATAATAATTTCAGACTATTTTTTTACAAGCAATATATTTTGGCTCAGACCTTCTGAGGCTTACATTTAAGGTCAGATGATAGACAAAATAAGAAAGTCGATTTTGATTTACTGAGCGGAACATGGGAATGTTATAGGGATATAAAGTGATTTCAAGGAGTTAAGTTTTACACGTCATACTCAATAGACGTGTTTATTTCGTGTCCGGGGAACTCCCCCCTCCCCTCAGTGTTGGTGATAGAGAGACCCCACTGGCTAGTTAAAAATGAACAAGTCGACGTGTTTAATAAAATAGATAAGTTTTCAAATTCTCTTTGTTGACGACTCTATCATCTCTGGACTCCATAAACAAATCAATACACGTCCTTCTCTTTATCCTTTCCTCAAACACCCCTGTTTATTCTTGTTCTCACTGTTTGTAATACCTTGCCTACTAGTGGCACTCCCGTCTTGTTAAAAAAAAAAAAAATTCTGCGCAACGGAGAAGTTCACACGCTTGTCCGGAGGCAAAAAAAGGGGATTATGTCAAGGAAGATTTGGTAAACCTGGTTGTATCAGGCTGTCGGATGATTGATCTTTCAAGGTCCGTCCTGGTTACGTCTTTGCAATGTATACTTTAGCGAGCGAAAATATTATCAAGACTTTTTACAACTATTAGGTAGCACGTTGAAATAAAATTGAGTTCATGCTTGTGACCGTTCCAGGTTTTATGCAATTATCTGAAACAAGAATGCAGCTTCGTTGTGGAATCAAACCCGTCGACCAAAAGACCTCCCCAGAAGAGATGAGTTAGACATCAATACCTCTGTGCAATATTTATAATAGTCAAAAAATATACAAGGTGGAACTACAGATTTTAAGGAAAGTATAATCTGGGTTTCTGATAATTCCTGGCCGGGTATTTTGTTATACGATAAGTATCATGAGATTGTTTTACATTCAAAATACAGGCTTTGCAGTCTTTCTTCTTTTTATGTACCCTGCACTCTTGGCTCTCCACAGCTTCCTTTCCCTTGCAGTTCTTAATACATTTTGTCTTTCTAAAACCTTGTTCTGCCATTTGTCTTTCCTAAACCTTGTTCTGCCATCCATTTACTCAAGCTCACTAAGTTTGTTATGCAATGTTTTCCTCTGTTTCGCTTCAGTGTGTCCTGTGAATATCACCTGGATCTAAACACTGCCCACTTGTATCTGTGGGGAATTCGTATTAATCTCACCTACAAGGCGGGTCTCTTGAAGCATGACGCAAGGTTGTTATTTAGACATATTAGCGTAGATTTGTCAATGGCTGTTCATGTCAACAATTATGTTAAGTTTATATTTTCTCAAGTAATCTACATCAGCTCAGCTGTTTATGGTTTCAATATTTTAAGGGGCATCTCGAGGGTTTCTAGTCATGCGCAGACAAATATAATTGTAAATAAATACGCAGGGAGAGTGAGTTGACGTGGATAAAAAGGACTTGACATATTACAGGACTAATATTACACAGTAGTTCAGCACCTTTATTTCCTAACATAAATGTCTTGTTTCTTTCTTTATTTTTTGGAATACTACTTTCTCATGTCCAGTGCACTTTTTATAATGAATTCACACACACACACGACACACACACACGCGCGCGCGCGCACACACACACACACATATATATATATATATATATATATAGTTTTAAAAGCAAGGAATTTATTGATTTTAATTTTATTAGTCTCTAAGGCCCTTTCAACCAACATCTCATCAGGAGACAATCGTTGGATCATTAATTAACGAAAATAAAAGAGCAAAAAAAGGGGGTCGCTAAAATAACAAACAAGTGTATATACTTGTTACGAGGGAGGGGAAATAACGTGTAAAAAGAAATTAGCGAGGACAGTTAAAATAAAAAGTGTATATACTTGTAACGAGGATATATATATATATATATATATATATATATATATATATATATATATATATATATATATATAAAAAATATACTAAAAAAAAAATATTAAAAATTAAAATCTTCAGACACACTGGGTTGAATATTAATATTATTTCGTTTTTATTATTATTTCATTTAGATTCTTCGTCTAGTTTCGGCCAAAATGGCTATCATCAGGAGAAAATCAAATTGATGGAGAAAATGAACTTTTGTCTGTAGTTTTCATTTGTTTTGTTTTTGTTTTTTTAACATGAATTTTGGTCAGTCCTTGTGTAGGGTAAACAGTCTCTTTTATGTTGTTATTTGAGATAAGAGCTGGATGGATTCATGCTGCTCTGAATTCCCTTGGTCATTTTGACAGTTTTATTGGTTCCTGGTGTGTCTGTTAAATGTGTGTGTCTTATTTGGTTCTTAGGGAGTGAATGAGTATGATGTATATAAGCGTATATATATATATATATATATATATATATATATATATATATATATATATATATATATATATAGTTAAGTTATGAAGAACTTGGTATACTTGAGAGAGAGATATGAAATTAATCCCTACCTATACTCTACCATGTCTATTTAACTATCCCTTTTACACTCTCTGTTAAATTACAAAAACATACACTACCCATCAATTTTAATTTCATTTTTCGTATCATTTCATTTTTAGAAATGCTATCTGATGATCCGGAGTCCTTTAAAAGGACTCTGGTGAAATAAATTATTATAATGGTACCTTAAAAAGAAGTGGTCTGTTTTTTTTCTTTTAATATATATATATATATATATATATATATATATATATATATATATATATATATATGGGCTGCAGCCTTTTTTAGTGCAATGAGGTAGATTCTGCCAGGAGTGGATACCTGAAGTTTACTTTGTAACTACCTTGCTCAGGGCCAAATGAGAGAAAAGGACAGATTTGAAAATCCTTCCATGTGAAATGGTTGGCGAGCTCGTTGATCAGATAATTATTTTGTACATTGACTTCCATATTCACTGTCTGATATATGCATATAACCTTTGTATTTTAGTAAATGCCTTCAGACTGATAATCCAAACACCAGTCCTTACTGTAATCGTTAATAAGCGAGTGTAACCGATCATATTTTTGTGTTTTCTTCTTTCTATGCATTCAGACAATTTTCCAACTCTTTGAACTTTAATTTTCCTTGTTTTGTGCGGAATCATGACTGAACTCAATACAATAACACCAAATTCAAAGGTCACAACAAAATAACCAATCAGCTTTTGACATGTCGCTTTGCCACCTTTCAACAAAGGTTGTCTTGTGATCCTGTTTATAAACCCTGTTTCAATGTGGGTCAAACGATTTCTCTTCCTCTCTCCATAGGATCACCCACGTTTAAAATGGTAAAGGTAGTCCAGCTCAAATGTAAACAAAAATGTCAGCATTTTAAATGCTTATTTTGAAAACTTACATTCAATTCCATTACTTTCAATAAAATAATCCTAAATTCCATCTGAGTTTTAGCTATGTAGAATTAACAATATTAAAATGATGAAAACTGGTCGACCAGAAGAGAGTATTCTAATTCCGCTTTGCAAGCTCAGGGGAGATAAATATTTTCATTTAGGGGAGATAACTCCTATCAGTCAATAATCTCCAGAGTCATATGCACTTTGGCGTCGCTTATAACGGAACCAGAATTACCGGAGCTGAGAAGAAAAATCGCCGAATAAAACTTAATCGCTTCCTTGAATAAGTTAAATTAATTTGTCTGGTAGTGCTTAAAAAAGGCAGCTGAGCAGGTTTATACGTCATATATCACTGGAGGAACAAATACTCCTTCGCTGGAAGAAACACACAAATGACAAAAAGGGGAATAAGACAGGCAGTTATTAACTGATACGAAATATTCCGAATAATGGAAAGCAGAATGACCCCAGAGTTCATTTGGAAATGCGCAAGAGGTTATTGCGTAGGAAGATAGAAACCTGAAGACGGATGAAGAGTAAAGCGTTCGAAATGCTCGCCGTCCAGCAACAAATGTTTTGACAAGAATGTTAGGAATGGTCAAATGGGTGATAATAAATTTTCGATACAGCACTTCTTCATTCGGCATTGGATCAAAAAACTTATCACAATTAATATACGTGTTGATCTGAAAGAAGACAGAT